ATACAGTAATTAAAAAATATTCGAAAATATTGTTATAGCTTGTTTGGAGTGCTGTAAAATTTTTCACACGGCTTCCAACGATTCGTTTGGCTGCTCCTGAGGGGCCCCCCACTCGCATTGATTGCAACAGACCACTCTAGGGCGAAATAATATGGAGGCAAACTTATCTTTTTAGCAGGTTGCAGCTTCTGCTTGGATGTGACGTGCTGGCGTTCTTGCTTGGACACGTCGACGGGGCCGAGAGTGTCCTCTCGCGGCGAGTGCTGATCATGCTGAGGACAAAAGACGACGACTCCACAAATGACTAACCCGACTGGCACCACAGCTGGTTGTGGTGCGATACTGCACTACAACGAGCAGGGATGCGCATGGGCTGGGGTGGGTTTTCCTAATAATGGCCAGTCAGGCGGCGCTTGTCCTTCAGCATCCTGTAAAAAAGATACCGCTTTATTCGAAGGCACCAATTCTACTGTAAACACGTTCCTGCAGGCAAAGTTACATACCTCCTAAGGAGATTGTGATGAGCTCGCTGACACCATAGCCATTCCAGGAGATCCTAGACTCTTAACAAGTTCACGTCCTCACCTGGAAGGGAGAGTGATTGAATAATTTACAGGCAGTCACAGACAAATAATAAGGTTACCAAAATAATGTACTTACAGCAGAAGTGTGCAGTCTGCATCACAACAGATACATTGATTCCTCACTGCATGGACGGGCTGGCCCGGGTTCGTATTTCCGTTTTTGATATAACAGCTGCATGGCTGCTAACAAATGCTACACATGAGACCCATTGCGCTTTTTGAGTAAAACCGGAACCTGTGTGAACATAACTATACCTTCGACTCTTGCCAAATTATGCACACCTGCTGCTGATGACCAGTGCACGGTGAGATGCTCCATCCTTTGGGCACAGGCGTATTTACTCACATGGCGTCCACACCTAGTAGTACAAGATGGGTCTTTTACTAACGAGAAATGGTGCAGTGACAGATAACTTCAGCATACAGAGTAATAGACACATTTCAGGAGATGCCCTTTGCCAGCCGGCACAATGTCACAGGCTGCGCTTACACGGGTCTTCTGTGACTGATTCCCCTGCCCCACGTCAGTGTTGGACCGCGCAGAGTGGAATGGACAGAAACGAGAAGGCAAAGACATTTAAACGGGAAGGGGAGTGAAGGGTACAAGCTGGGCTAGGCAACTACTGAAATGTGAATACATGATTGCAACAGACCACTATATGGCGAAATAATATGGAGGCAAACTTATCTTTTTAGCAGGTTGCGGCCATATGTGATGGTCAAGCTGCTGTCGTGGATCTTAATCAGTGCGTGTGCGCGTGGTTTCCTCTCCATCAAAACTCAAACTGAAGCATCCTGAAAACAAAGACCGCTTTATTTGAGGGCACCAATTCTACTGTGAACACGTTCCTGCAGGCAAAGTTGCCTACCTCATAAGGTGATTGTGATGAGCTCGCCGACACCAAAGCCATTCCAGGAGATCCTAGACTCTTAACAAGTTCACGTCCTCACCTGGAAGGGAAAGTGATTGAATAATTTACGGGCAGTCAAAGACAAATATTAAGGTTACCAAAATAGTGTACTTACAACAGAAGTGTGTAGTCTGCATCACAACAGATACATTGATTCCTCACTGCATGGACGAGCTGGCAAGGGCTCTTTCATGTATCTTTTTTCAGAAAATTTGAAGTCAAGTAACCTGTAGAAGAGGACTACTTTGTTTAAGTGCACACAAATTTTACTGTTTACACGTTATTGCATGCTTGGCGGGTTTACGATGGATTTTCTTATGTTATGTCGAAATTTTATTTTATGTCGCGACACAACATAGAGTCAACTTTGCTTGTAACTTACGGGGCCGTTTACGATACCAACATAAGAGTTATGTTAGGTCGCAAGCCTCTCGACATAACTAACATACAGTCAACTGTCGAGTTGACTTTATGTTATGTCGAGAGGCCCTCGACATAAAATAAGGGACGTGACATGGTAGCCAATGAGAATCGCTAGAACGCGCGCGAAGCCGTGGAAACCTAACCTACAAAGTAAATAATGGATTCGGAAAATTTAAATTCGAAGCTGCCATACAAATAATTAACAGCAAATACTGAGTTTAAATTTCTCCTAATAGTTTTAATCCAAAAAACTATAGTTTTATAAATTTCGGTACATTCTACATAAGCTTCCTTGCATGCATAACTTAACCACCGTGAACCACCGTAAACAGCCCTTTCAAAAACTACATATATAAGCACTTTCAACATAACATAAGATTTGACATAACATAAAAAAAATCCATCGTAAACCCGCCATAAGCTGGATATCGAATGAAACGTGGAAACCGATCACCCTCGATTTTTAATGCATTTGCTGCAGACGCAGTCTGCGTAATGCAAGTTGGAAGGCTACTAATGCAATAAATAAATTTACACTCGTTAAAACATTTAGCGGTCGCCTGGATTAAATTATCTCCCCTAGCACCTAGGAAGTCGAGATTTGACATGGACATGCATCCATGTGTGTAGTTAAACATCGTTGAGCACGAATGTCGTGCGACACCTCTCACGCCGTAC